AGCAGCAGCAGCAGTAGGAGGAGTAGTAGTAGTCGTCGTCGTTGTCGTCGTGTTCGCAGTAGCCGCAGCAGTCGCTGTAGTCGTAAAATTCGTAGCAGTCGTAGCAGTCGCAGCAGTAGTAGCAGTAGTAGTGGTAGTCGTCGTCGTAGCAGTAGAAGAAGTACTACAGGTATCACTAGTGTTTGCAGTACTTGTAGTAGTCGTCAGTGGTAACCAGCAGTAAGACTAGAAATAACTAGCGTTATGTTTGTAGTAGTACTTCGCCCACCTCCTTTGCCGTGCCAGGGATGCTCCTGGGGTCCCTGCTCACCGCTGGGGCGCCCTTCGGAGCCAAAGGCATCCTAGCCGCCTTGGGCTCCCCGGTTCAAGCGGAGCATGCCATCTCAAAACGTAGTAGTAGTAAAAAATAATAACAGTGACGGGAATAAGTTAAGACAGCAGTAATATTGCTAATGCTCGTAGTGCTCTCGAGGTATTGGTAAGCACGATAGACAGAACAGCAGCAATAATATGACAATAAAAGTAGCAAGATGAATGCTAGTAATACCGCAGCCTCGCGTGAAAACATACGAGAACCATAGTAGCATGAATACTGCTGTACTATCATCATAATTATAAGACTGCCAGTATAACTGGTAGCAGCAGTAATGATACTACCAGCACGTCGGCGTCCATCCGTGTGAATTTTCTCGTGTATGTACGTGCATGTGTGCATGCGCTTGGTCTCTCTGCATCTCTGCATCCGTCCCTGCATCTCCATCTCTCTCTCTCTCTCTCTCCATGGTCTCTGTTTGGGTATAGCGTGTGGAGAGTGGAGTATGGCACGGCCTTGCATAGTGTAGCACAGTATGTCATAGCATAGCGTAGCATAGCATAGTATAGCAAAACACAGTAGAGTTTAGGAAAGCATAGTACAGTATAGCATCGTAGAGTGTAACATAGCCTAGTATAGTAGAGTACAGCACCGTATAGTATGGTACAGTGTCTCTGCCTGCATTCGTCCAGAACTTCCAAGGAGTCGGAACCGGTCTCATGTCCGGGCCGAAGACACTGCGACCCGCTCCTTGCCCCAAAGAAACGCACGGCTGACACGGTGTGAGGGCTTGGGGTTTAGCAAAAAGGATATTATTTCAGGATCTCGGATATGGCTCTGCGGCCATCAGCTCAGGTTCTCTGTGCTTTTGTTATGCTTCTGGCAGCAAGAGCTAAGAAGCGTGTCGTGCCTTGGCTGCAGAGATGAAAGATCTCAGCGGTGTGAGATTTTTGTGCGATGTGACTTTACGACAGACCCTTGCGCTTCAAGCATTTTGTGGCAGCACCATACGTATCGGGAAGTGCCTGCGCATCTTTGGCTGCCATCTGCTTTCATCAACAGACAAGAGGCGATGGCTGGTGCCATCTTTGCTTCGTTCCTCACATGGCTGGTCACTCGATCAGGCCACTCTGACTTGCAAAGGCTACTGGCTGGGGTAGGATGATAGGCAACTGTGTCCATGTGGAATGTTGGCTTAAGCCATATTGGCCGAGGAACTATTTCTCCACAGCCGTGGTACTTCAACTTCATCAGCACATGGATAAAGGAGTGACCAGCCTTGGTTGCAACTGCAGTCAAGTTGTCAGATGGCTCCCCGGTTGGTCTCAGACGTTCCATGCCGTTCCAGGACTTTTATACCGAGACGGGCCTTCGGGGTGCCTTGCACGACATACGTCCTACAAAGAGCTTCTTTGGCTTCCACCCACATGGCTACTTGATTGAAGCTGTTCCGCAGAGACGCTCAGCACGCTAGGCAGGGTCACGGGGTTGTGCAGGATGCCTATGTGCTGGGTTCACCATCAATGGCACCTACAACCCAGACTTCATGCGGGCTGCCACTCGTGTGGCATGGCTGTGTGACAACAATCTCAGGCGGGGATGTGTTTCCGATTTGATGCAGCAGTACAAGACCTTTTGCACAGCTTCTTCCCTAATCCCTAAACCCTAAGCCTAACCCCTAACCCACTCTTTGCCTCCACCTGAAACCAACATTGGACCAACCTTTCTTGGACCCGTTGCCCACAGGCACAAGAACCCTGGCTTTCAGCTGATGAGTGAGGCGTACCAGGCTGAGGACAGCTTGCAGAAGCCAGAGTACCCGGTGAGACAAGGGTAACGTAGACCCTTGATGAATAAACCCCCCTCTCTTCAAGGGCTTGCTTCAATATTGGAATGTCTATTACAATCATTTTAGTTAGGGTAGGGGGATTTTATCAATCCTTGTATTAAGGTCGTTAAAGAGATGGGTTTATCAATCAGGGGTCTACATTAGCCTATGTCCGGTGTTTGTCTCTGCATTGCCACAGCGATCCTCTGAAGGACAGAGCCATTGAAGCTTGTGATGCTGAAGGTCCCGGCACACCACGACTACCGCCTACTACTACTACTACGACGACGACGACTACTACCACTACGACGACTACTCCTGCTGCTGCTGCTGCCACTGCGCCTACTGCTACTGCTACTGCTACTGCTACTGCTACTGCTACTACTACTACTACTACCACCACTACTACTACTACTACTAATAATAGTTTTTTATGATAGTAATAATACTGCTACCGCACAGCTGCTACCGATGCCGCTAAGACTACGACGACGACTACCACTACTGCCACTGCTACTGCAGCTGCCGCAACTAGCACCGAATGTTGCAAGTCCATGCTTACACCCTAACTCTGATAAACAGAATCGAGACAGCTTCAAGCTTGAAGTGCACCCCTCTACGACCCTTGCACTAGTGTTTGCCTAGGTCTTTATGGATTCAATACTCTAGCAGTTTGAGACTGCTAAAGCCTCGATGGCGAGAACAATATTTTGGATTTTGGTGCTGGGCTTCAGGGTTCGGGAATGCTCAGGGCTAAGCAAACCTTTGACACCCAATGGATGACCGAGGCGGAAGATAAACTTTCAAGGAGAGCTATCTAGAACCCACATAGACCCACAAGCTCCACATGCCCAAATAACAATCACCAAATCCCAAAACCCCCAAACCCCAGACCCTCAACCGGACACAACCTACCAAAGTCCGGACCATAAGCCCCAAACTCCACAAGCCCCATAACCCCAAACCCTAAACCTTAAACCCCAAGCCCCAAACTCCAGAACCCCCATAACCCCAAACCCTAAACCTGAAACCCGAAACCCTAAGCCCGGGCCCCAAACTCCACAACCCTCATAACCCTAAACCCTAAACCTGAAAC